GCCGGTTTTCCACTAGGCGGAATTTTGCGCGCGGAGCGGAATCTTTCTTTGTCTTTTCTAATTAGTTCCACCCGAGAAATCACAAGACAAAGAAAAATTCCGCTCCGCGCGCAAAATTCCGCCTAGTGGAAAACAGGCTTTAATGGAGGTTCAACTGTATTCCGTATTTTAGAGTGTGTATAAGTTAACATAATTGATATAATTTTAAATCATCCCATATTATCTTTGTTATTTATTGTACGTAAAAATAAGAATAATGAAGTTTTTCATAGCAATAAATATCCTTTGCACAGATACAGTACATGCACAATTAGTGTACCGACTTTTATTACGTTTACACAAATCTGGGTTGAAGGATATTCGGATATTCTTTTACTTACTATGCTTTTCCTTCAATGAATCTTAATTTGTTTGTGTAATAGCTTGTGTAATATGGAGCAGATACACATACAAAGTATGTGTATCTGCTCCAAGTATATGCCAATTTAGCCTGCGAACAGGCTCACTGGGAGAAAGGTGAGCCTGCACGGAACCATGCGTTTTATTCAATCATCCCCTTTTCGCATCTGCTAAACGCGAGCCAATCAGCGTCGACTGCGATAAATAAACTGTCAACTGTCAAATTGACGCAAGGCGTGTACATTGTGCAACGAAGAAATACTGAATATTAAAATATATACATAATGTATATATGAACAATAATACAAAGCATTAGCGGGCCGCACAAAATATTACTCGGAAAATATAGAATTCTTCAAATATTAAATAGATATCAATACACATACAAATATAAAGCCGAATAAAATACTACCATTGGCATTGAATCAATGTACAGTAATACTTATACTATGTGCGACTGAAAGAACAATGTTCTGAATATTTGAAGCTATTAAAATACGGTCAGATAGATTGGGATTTGGAATACCGAATACGTCTAAAATTTTACTAACTGTGGTCTAAATAAATGATAAATGAGCATGTATTTATTAATTTCTTCGAAATCACGAGTGTGCCAATAGTGGAAGCATAGTGATGGAAGCCGTATCGACGACGAAATTGTCAGCAGTTTATACAGTAAATAGTACAGCGTTTAATGTACGATATATATTTATATCTAAAATGACATGCCAGCGAGGATCAACAATATAATTATTCGTACGTATTTGGGTATCTTTTGTATACCTTCGCTTGCTGACTTGCTCACTAATGAGAATAATCCGTGAAGCCACGATGACCTCAAAATGTAGTACTATAGTCTGATGTCAATCCGAAGACGAAGTTCAGAATACTGTTATAGTATTGGATTTAAGCGATAGATTCAAGTCATTTATGTTAGACTTTTTGCTGTGATGCTTTGCTATTGCTTTTGGTTTCCATTTCTAGTTTTATTTATTCGATAGTCTTATAATATATAATATTAAAATGAATAAAGTTCAAATTCTTCAAAGTGCTGTTGTTGACATTTGCTATTTTTAGTAATTTTGTCAACGAGTGTAAGCCAATCAGAAGCCTGCGTTTCTATACGAACGCCACTACCAAGAAAACCTATAGTCCCGTGCAGGCCCTCTATTCTTCGCGCCGCCCGTAACCCAGGGCCTGTTCGCAGGCTAATGCCAATTGCAAAGTTTATACCAGCCCAGGTCAAACCAAACCCTGGTGTACATGAAGAAATAAACAATTTCCATGCCTTCACACCTACAGTAGCCGCCAACCCAAGTACACACAGTGAACTCCATATATAATATCTGGAGCGAGAGCTCGAGTCCAAAAAGTGAAGTCAAGATAGTGGAAATTGAAGAGCTATTGGACATCAGTTCCAGTCCCTTTCTATTGCAGGACCCCACTGAAAAACACATTAGTGATGTGGGTATCCTGGATAAATATAATTATAAATAAATAAAAATAAATATTGTTTTTATCTGCAAGGTTAACATGAAGCTGTGTGCCAAAATTCCATATTTTTCACTTGGTCCACTGTGTGGGTCTCGTAAAGGGATAACCAGGGTTGGCAGGATGTGAACTTTCTAAAGGGTTGACCTGGCGATCACATTATAAACAATAATAGAAAATTTACTAGTAGAAATGTTGAGCCTAGCCTGCTCGCAGCCGTTGTTATTCTTACGCAAAACAACGAAAAACTAACGTCTTTACGTCTGCTGACCTGGGCTGTACATTCAATTCCCTTTGTTTTAGGAGCCAATCATCCGGCAGTGTTGAAAAGAGTTAGAGCCAATTGGAAGCCGCCTTATTAAGGGATTAGCTACTGGGGAAAGCCCTTGCACATGGGAATATATTGTTTGGGTTGAAATTTGTTTACTTGCGTGGATATATTTTGGAAACTATAGCGTTGAACTTCACAATGTTTACGTAGAATAATATTGTGATCATCTTCTTGCATGTTCTGCAAACAATCGGTGTATATATAAATGCAAAAGCAATGCAGTAGGCAAAATTTAAATTTTTGTTAACAATGACAAACAATCAATCGGGAAACTTGGGTATATCAGAATATGTCTAAATGTTGCTTTGATACTTCCTATATGCCATGACTTCGACGAAAACTTCTAAAAGATTAAGCTCTCGTTGTCATGTAGAAAAAGTACAGCCAAGTTAGAGTATAAACTTTCGAAGTTTGGGTGAATTGAAAAATTTAACACGGTGCAATTACAAGTTTCTCGGGTTTGTGTTGTGTTTACAGTTTACATTCAGAAGTGGTTTCTCAAACAGCAAATTAGTTTGAAGCTAATATTTCACTTTCTAAGCCATATTATATAAAACTTTCTGTCTTCTGAGTTCTGTTGTCTTAATCTGTTGACTGTCCATCCAGTCCATGTTTTAAATATAACCGAACATATTCAATATCCAAATCTGATCATTGAGACCCACCAAAGCGTTATGACCGACAGACGACATTGCTTAAAAAGAGGCAATGTTGTTCAGACTATCTAAAAAAGAGCGACAAACGATAGCTTCTGACTGGGAAAAAGCGACAAATTGCGATTTGTGTTATGGGTCAAAAGTGACAGCAACATTTATTACAATAAAACAAGCGACAAAGCAGCTACAAAATCAGTGACAAGCGACCTAGGTTACACCCTTGGTGGGCTTCATCATTAATGGTGCATTTTATTACTTGGACAAGTATCAATATCTTTATGTTCAATTTATGTACAATTTTGACCAAAATTCAACTGATGACTGCTTTCAAAATATTTATTATATATTTATTCCGCTCCTAAATCAATTACTGACGTCACTTTCCAGAATTTGGATTGGTGCTCGGGTCAGCAGACATTAGTTTTTCGTAGTTTTGCGTAAGAATAACAACAGCTGAGAGCAGGCTATGTTGAGCAGGCTATGTTGAGCCGGGCTGAAAGCCAACCCAGATTGATAGCCAACCTGGGTTCATGTGAAAGTAGCAAACTATAAAAATCTAATTAATCCAACCTTGTCTGATATCATGGGCATTTGTTGCCAGGGTTTAATAGGGTGAATGTTAGGATATCATTAAGAGATTACAACACTGGATGCCAAGTTTATTGATATTACCCACCTTGTCAGACATAAACATGTAATTATATAGGGTATAATGTGTGATTAATGAGCAATACAATCTTTTTCAGGAATATCCAGTGACAATCCGAACAATAAGTTGAAACACCCATATGAATTTATCATTTTCCAATTTAATTTTTTTATATGCAATTAAATCATTGATGGCCATTTAGTCAAAATATATTATGTGAAGTTCCGCGATGGCGTCATGTTATTATTAAAAGACATAATTCTTAATAGATGAAATAAAGTAACAATTTGAAAGAGATGCTTTCATAACCCCCATGCCATTTTGAAGTGTCTTTTCTTCCCAATTCTATCGATATGATCAAATATATTGACGCCGGAAAGCTGTGGCCTTTTAATAAAATAGTGCATTAATTTGCGGTGAGACCGTCATTCGTAACTTGATAAACCCCTGATTTAACCACGCTAAATGTATCATACATCTAGTACTATGTTGATGAAAGAACGCTCTCACCTCCAATGAAAGCAATTTATATTTATAAAAACGAAACACTGGATATATTTAAGCCGGTATGGTAATGAAGGACCCAATTCACAGCCTGTTAAAATACAAACAATTCAAATCTCCAGGAAACGGGAATATAGAAAGTGTCATGTCGCATATCAAATCATAACTCTAGAAATTACATATCCTTAAAATTGTACAACACTATAAGGGAACTTGTAGAATAAGATTAACAAAAGACAAAAATAACATTTTATGGGGCAAACCTTATCAGATGGCAGACCAGAACCCTTTTTGCGTTGTGTCACAACATCCGACATATCCACGAAGTGCTCTCAAAATGCCGAAAGTTTCTGCGTTCGTGAAGGTTCTGTTGCCGGTGAAAACGGCGAGAACTTAGAATTTAAAATTTCCTTGTATTCTAGTATTCAAAAATTCATTAAAATATACAGCAACATAGTAAAATTCGACGATAAAAATACCACCATTATTCAACTTTATACAATGTACTCTCTAAAAGATTAGTTGCCAACTGCTCTGCACGTCTAGCATTGTGGGAATGTTTTCCCGGGGATTGTTACCCGCGCTCGATATCCGGGGTATTTTTTCCGCCAGGGTTTTTCTACTTATCAAAGAAAATTTCCATATCTGGCGAAAACCGATCAATAGCATATTTTACGGAAACCACTGAGTATTTTAATAAAATATAAAACTATAAAACAACGGTATCTCCGAAAAATAGGCGTTTTAATATTCTAGCTTTCGAATATAAGATTCAGTCATCATCATTCCCGATAGTATCTTATTTCATAGTGCTCTACTCTTTGCTCAGCCAGAATAAGGAGAGTTTAGGTTTTTGTCGAGGGTCGAGGGTGGGAGGTCGAGTGTCGAGGGTCATACATTTAGAAACTTTGGAGGTTCCCGAAATCGAAATTGCCACATACTTTAATACTACCATACTAGAAACGTTGGCAAAGAGTGGTAACACAAACAGTAAACGTTTTAGCCCCAACACAACTACAAATTAATAATAATCTTCGGCGGTATAGTAAAAAATAAAATAAAATATTTTACTAAAAATACAATCCTAGTATAATTTCATAAGGGACCGGTCATTATTTATGGCGGGGGGTGGCACCGAAGAGAAATGTTTTTCGTAGCAAAAATTTTGCTGACCCAACCATTAAAAAGTAAACAAAATTGATTACCCAACCTCAAATATCAATTAAAAAATAAATACCCACCCCTGGCCAAAACATTTACAAAAGGTACTATTCAGTTGTCACATATGTCCTTTACCACTTCTGTGACATAAGTTTGATAATGGATTGTGAAATTTTCTGCAGTCTGAAGTTTCATGTTGTCTGCACATGTAGCTACTTTCTTTGGAGATCCCATCGGAAATTGATCAAGATAATGACTCTGATTGATATATACTTTTCGTTGTTTCTTTACACATTTAGTAAATCTTAGTATAACACCAAGTTCATCAATTGCTGCTATTTTGCTAGCAAATCCATGTATAATAAACCCGGGTGTTTTGCAATCAAAAGTGATGCAACCTGGATAGTGGAATAATTTGATTACTGTAGGCACAATTTTTGGCCAGTTAGTAGTCAAAGACTCAAAGGTCATGCATAAATAAGAACAGTCTTTAATATTACCGCCTTACGGAGACTTTATATTAATTGTGCTACTCTAGGATCTAGAAGGTCCTAGAAGAACCATAGGTCCCATACTCGACTAGCAACATAATCAAGTTAGTTATGTTAATTCATTATATATAGGATCAATGTTAAAGGCAAGGTGGGCTATAAGCTATAATCATTTGTATGGCTTATAGAAGGCTAATTGCCGTGAATAAATTGAATAATGAATGTAGCACAATATTAAATAGTTGCATGATGACGTCAAAGAAACTAGTCAGACTACATTTGCAAGTTTTGCAACTCTCATCGCTTAAATTCCCCATACCTGAATACAAAATAAACAGTAAACAACGATTACCTTTTACATACCATATATAAAACGGAGTTTTCATCCTTTCTAGAAACTCACTTCCTGAACTTTTGAGTGCAAATGTAATGTATTAAAAATGTATATCATATTCACAGCGGTTAATACCATTAATATATCGCGGGCGCAATACAAAACAAAACACGAGAATTTTAAAATGTTTTGATTTGCAAATAAATAAATAATATTTGATGTCATAAAAATTTTTAAATTTAACTCAACACAAACTGGTAAGTTCATGACATGTATAATTTACTTATATGTTGTTATATTGCAATACTGTACCCTACTCCTTTGAAAATTGTTTGCAATTGCATATGATGTGAACATGTGGTCATGTATTATAGTTGTGTCATGGATTTAATAATACCCCCAGTGGTGCCTAAATTACTTTGATTTTATACTTGAGTAAAAGTAGAAGTAATTCGCATTAAAACGACTTGAGTAAATGTAAAAAGTACTGGAGAGAATACGTACTTGAGTAAAAAGTATTTTTCAAAAATACTTAAGTACAAGTAAAAAGTACAAGTACTGTATAGAGTACATCGAGGAATGATACTCTGGATTAGACTAATAGACCACCAACAATACGATAGTTACATACCGCAATTTTACCTTCAGGCCTCTTGGGATTTTCAACTTTTTATTAAATTTTAATTAAGCACTACTGGGGGATTATGATGGGTGTCTACGGCTGCAAGGGATTTCAAAGTTGCAATTTAATACCAATGACACGCAAATACGTTTTTCTAATGAGAGATCACACACAGCAATTACAACATAGCCAGTGTATATTATAGTTTTATTTACAAAACATGGACGTTTTTCCTAGTTCTGACAATATCAACGAATTATTAGTCATCAGAGTTTCACTGAGTGCACTATGTTTTATGGCAAGTCTATGGCTGATTTTGAAGGAAAGACTTATTCAGTTTCAATAAAAGTTGATTTTCAAAGTTCTGGTCTCCGATACGTGACCTCAATGGGGTAAGAATGCGACCTGCTGCACTGAACAAACGCTCACACGCTGCACTAGCAGGCAGAGCTGTGTTTGTTTTGATGAAAAGATCTTTTAAGAGAGGCCACGTGGTAATGGAAGATGTCTCAACATATGAATTTGATGCTCTTGTTCTCTCTTCCCACTCTTCCATTGTAGCGAAACATTGACTTCAAATATGGCCAAGGATGTTCCTCCTCTTCTCCTTTTTTACCGATAGTGTATTAACACCTTCTAGTCCTTGTCCTTCGTTCAAGACTTCGTCTGCAATATGCAAATCACTGTCGGTCATGGCTGCCCAAGCAATTCGGGTAGAGTTCAATGATTGGGCCAGTGAATTCGGCGCAATAATTTGGCGCGAAACGCGTGTATTGTCGCATGTGTTCAGCGGAATATATTAATTGTCTGTACTTCGTGTAAATAACTATAAATTTGATTGCGATTGGAGTCGAGTTTAAAAATCGAAATTCATTTTAGAAATCACCGAATCAGGTAAAAGATAGAACTAAAATTTGATAATACCATAAAAGTAACGGAATACTTCACCGCAAAATAAAAATAACGAAGTAAAACGTTACTTTTTGAATTTACTTCGTTCCAAGTAGAAGTACTCTGTCAAAAATTTACTTCGTTACTTGCTCACTTCTCAAAATTAGTACTCAAGTAAAGTAACGAAGTACATTTACTTCGTTACTTGTCACCACTGAATACCCCAATGGCTTCGAAATAGACAATGGATGGAAAAAGTCATGAATATTGAACTTATTTACCCTTTAAACATTTGATCGTCATGCGCATACAGTGTATTGTTTGTTTCCAGAACCCCCTCAAGCAGACTTCAACTTTTTTTGTTAAATTGTATATTTTGCTTCATACACTGCATGTGTGTGTGTTTGTGGGAACACTCATGTTTGGATGCTTGGCGTAGGTTAATGGTAATTTCATTGGAGGCATCAGGGATATAGTTGTATATTCCTGAAATTACCTCTAAACACCTAAAACAGCATTCCCTAAAATTTTAATTGTTTTCTTACATTGCCCTATATCGCTCAAACTCGTATTGCTTAAATTGCAGATTTTGCTTAAATCACCTAAATTTGCTTAAACTTGCATTATCTCGTTATCGCCCCAGAGTAAGGCCTACTGTTGCCATTGCTTTTTAGTCCCCAATACTTCAGTGAGTCATGCTTTGGAAATGACAATAATTTTTTATTACCCAACCCTTGAGTTGTTTTGTTTTTCATTTACCCAACCTTTTACTTACTCAAAATTTAGTTTACCCAACCCTTTTCTCTTCGGTGCCACCCTCCACCATAAATAATGACCGGTCCCTAAACAGGCCAATGTCGTTCAACCTCGCATCAAGCAAGGGTCTCCGTCCCCGCGACGGGTGTGGAGACCCTTTGCTTGCGAGGTTGGCCAATGTTTGGCCGTGAGACGAGTAATATTGACTGATCATGAATCACTTAGCGTTAATTGTCACTGAAAAGCCCCTCAATCAGCCTAGACCTAGGCCTTTACTCGCAGGGCCGCCGAGAGGTTGGTGGGGGCCCGGGGCAAATTTTTTTTTAGGGGCCCCTATCTAAAAAAATTTTTCCCGGAAAAATTTTTTTCCGGAGAACAACCCCCCCCCCCCATTTGCGTCCTTCGTCCGCCCCGCCCCCAAATCACCTAGTCCCAGTCTTTTCATGTGAAAAAGCGCTGAATATTAATTAAAATATACATAAAAATATAAGGCATAGGTCTAGGCTGCCCCTCAATAAAGTCAAATTCAAATTGGTTTCTTGAAACAGTGGCATGTCTGCACCGCTCTCAGATCTAGCAGAAAACGTTTCTGATATATTTTGCCCTAATACATTGCCATACTGGCTTGAGGATTACAGCTGCCCGATAATCTATGCTGTTACGTTAATTTGATAAGAAAGCAAGGAGATTGTCTCATATTTTGAGACATAAACAAGTTAGCTTGCGAGAGTGAAGGGGCTTAGAAAATCGTCGTTAGATTTACCCATGCAAGGTTGAAGGTAGTGTACGTACAAACCTACCTAACATGATAAGTCCATGTCACAACATTAAACAAGTTATTTTGCCGGCAAATTTCTACCCTCGACAATTAAAAATAAAATATGACCCTCGACTATTTTATATAACCTTCGACGTTTTTATATGACCTTCGACCTTTTACCCTCGACCCTGGACATTGGACCCTCGATACTCGACCTCCCACCCTCGACACTTACAAAAAACCTAAACTCGATTAAGGAATATGGAGTAAATGGTGCTCACCCTACCGATGGGTGTTTGGAAACCCAGGAACTACAGGAACAGGAACTACAGGAATTACAGGAACATGGACAGGAATTACAGGATCTACAGGAACTACAGGATTTTCAGGAACAGCATAAATCCTAATATTATACCTCACAATGAGCTTGTCCAATTAGAGAACTAAATTTGTACCACATGACCATGGTATTTTTCAGCGAATACTATGACCTAGGCAATTTGAACCCTGGGTGTTTTACCCGGGGCC